TATTATAAAAATAAACAAAATTTTAATTGCCAATGATATGGTCAACTGCAGAACAACACTTAAAGGACAGTCTGGGAGAAAATGATTTATTTATTAGTTGTAATTGGCTTTAAACTAGCTTTCAGTACCTGCGAGTACTCTTATATCAGTATTCTTATATTGGTGCTTTGTGTCTGTTGTTTTATGTTAGTAGTTTTTGCGCCTTGTACCAATCTTTTGAGTAAAGCCCATTGCAACTGATTTTTACATTGTTCTTATGTTGTGTTGTTACACCTCTGTCCAAGGTTAGAGGGAGGGTTGAGCGCTCACAAACATGTTTAACTCTGCCACATTCTTTATGTGCCTGTCCCAATTAAGTCCGGAGCCTGTAGTTCAGTGGTTGTCGTTGGTTCATGTCTGTCAGATTTGTTTTTCGTTAATTGTTTTGTAATAAATTAAGCCTTTAGTTTTTCTCAATTGAATTGTTTTACATTTTAATGTTGAGGCCTTTTATAGCCGACTATACAGTATGGGGTTTTCTCCGTACTGCTGCCTATAATTGTTTACATCCACTTCATTTGAACTTTGGTGGATAGTTGTTTCATTGGTAGTCATACAACATCTCCTTATTTTTATAAAGTGAGTATTTAAAGGTTATTGTACAGACACAGAAAACATGCAAGGGCCTAAACCGAGATAACCTTGATCAAGACGCTGTCAAAATGATAGCAAAGCATAACTATATTTCTTCATTGGAAAATTGGTTAAAAATTCCAGATACTGTAAATTCAGAAATTATTGTGAGGTTTTTATTAATGCAAACAATGCGACTTGGGGAGTATCGCAAAAATAAGAACTTGCATTCTTAGATCTAATACATATTGCTGTATGCAGATTTTCCTGAAATCGCAATAATTAATCCCGCATTTTTATCCATTCTTCAATAAAATGCTCCGCTGGGGCGCAGCTTGATACGACCGCAGAGGTCGAACCCTGAACAGTTGGGGCAAGTATGGACACAACATTCAAGCTTGATACAGCACTGAATTTGGATTGTAATTAAATATTTGACACAGCATAGGTTTCTGACACAGAATGAAAGTGGTCTAAGAACTTAAAAATTTTCAATTTACCTATTCATACATGTGATGGACTGTGAAACTCAGATCAGGAGATTGGGAAATTTTGGTCAGGAGATTAGGACTCAGATCAGGAGGTTTTTAATCGACATTAATTTTGTTGTAAATGTAACCATGTGCTGTAAAAATGGTCTTTTAAAGTGTGTTTTCTTCAACTTTCCAACCAATTTATTATGTTTATAGTACCCTTGTACTTATAAAGTTTCTCCATCTTTATATTCTACATGTTCAATCTAACATTGTTTTTTTCCAGTATGTTCTTTAAATTTTTTACTTCATATTCTATAAAACAATCATTGCAACCAGAACATTTGCTTAGCTGTCTGCAAATAGTTTTTATTTTTTTTTTTTTCTCTTGCAAATAGTTTTTATTTGCAAACTCAGAAATTCATTCTATCTGTAAAGTTAGGGTCATAGTTATTATATAAATTTCAATTTAAGCCTTAAAAGGAAGTATAGAATCCTCAAATAATTTTCAAATTATTATTTTTTTATTTGTCCTAAGACATTTAAAATCATTTAATAACCATCCTTTTATGATTATTTGTTCAATTTATATTTTATTTATATTCTTTTAAAAATTTTCATTATTAAAAGGAAAGTAACTTAAAACAGGATAAATCAAGGGAAGTAACCCAATAAATACACAGTTTTTGTTACACAACGGCAGTTAGCCTGAGGTAAAAATCGTTGCTTACCAGTATGTTTGACACCCAAGCTGACAAGTGAAGCCATATAATTATGCATGTTAATTGATTTACAGGTAAAATATAACTTCAGGTAATGTCAGTTACACCAGATGCCTGAGATGTTATGTTGGGCAGAAATTTTTCATTCATGAAAAATTTCATACACGGGATTTTTTCAACGGGAGGGGGGGAGGAGACCCCTGAAAACGGGATTATTGTACTCCCGTCGGGAGGTTCACATGTATGCCTATTCAAACCATATCATTATTATTTGCTTTTATATATAAATCAGAAATAACCAATTTAAAATGGAAAATGTTAAAGAAAAAAAAGGAAAAAAAAATCCCCCCCCCAATTTTTTGAACCCCCTTATGATTCATCGCCCCCAAACTCAATCCCAGCTTTCCCTTTGTGGTATGGTACCTTGCAGTACAATTTCAGAGAGATTCATACACTTGAACACAAGTTATTGTCTGGAAACTAGAAAAATGCTTGTTTTTTGGCCCCTTTTTGGCCCCAAATTCCTAAACGTTTAGGGCAATTACCCCCAAACTCAATCCCAGCCTTCCCTTTGTGATATGGAACCTTGTAGTACAATTTCATAAAGATCCATACACTTACAAACAAGTTATTGTCATGAAACTAGAAAAATGCTTGTTTTTTGCCCCTTTTTGGTCCCTAATTCCTAATATTTGGAGGAAATTACCCCAAAAATCAATCCCAGTATTCCCTTTGTGATATGGAACCTTGTAGTACAATTTCATAAAGATCCATACACTTACAAACAAGTTATTGTCATGAAACTAGAAAAATGCTTGTTTTTTGCCCCTTTTTGGCCCCTAATTCCTAAAATTTGGAGACAATTACCCCCAAAATCAATCCCAGCATTCCCTTTGAGATATGGAACCTTGTGGTACAATGTCAGAGAGATCCATACACTTACACACAAGTTATGTCTGGAAGTTACAAAAATGCTTATTTTTGGCCCCTTTTGGCCCCTAATTCCTTAACTGTTAGTACCATAACCCCCAAAATCAATCCCCACCTTCCTTTTGTGGTATTGAACCTTATGGTAAAATTTCAATGAGATCCATTCACTTAAACTAAAGTTAGAGTGCGAAAACTAATGTGTATTCGGACGACGACGCCGGACGACGACGACGACGACGACGACGACGCCAACGTCATACCAATATACGACCACAAAAATTTTTTTGCGGTCGTATAAAAATCACAATAATAAATGCACACAATAATTTCTGAATTCACAGTAAACAAATGTGAAACAATGCTAATAGCTATAGACAAATATGATGCCCCCTCTAGCTTTAGTAACAGTGACTTTGAAGAACAACTTGAGATGGTTGTGTCTTTTTGATTACCCCACAATAATTGTGATTTATCCATTATGTGGGAAAATCTATGTATATTTTTCAAATGTTCAAAATTGTTTACTGCAGTTTCAATATGAAGTTTACAATCAAATGTGCATGTTAATTACAAAAACGTACATTATTATATTATAGTTTTGTACTGGTTAAAAACTTATAAATATAGTCTGTTTTGATACTGTGGAACATATAAGTACTCATATATTACCCAAAAATGACACAAGTTCAACGACCTATCATTTGTGGAAAAGTTAAAAAATCAAATCAAAATCCTGACAATATGCCAACCTTTAGTATACATGATATAAAATTTTGCTAGAAAACTCTAGAAGTTAGCCAGACAAACCATATACCTATGTGGGAAAGATGGACATATGGATGAATGGACAGGCGTAAAACAATATGCCCCCTATTTTCGCGGGGGCATACAAATATATCCAAAAATATAATTCAAGTAAACTATATTCAAAACAAAAAATGAGCAGGAAAACTATTCTACCATAAAAGTTGAAATCTTTTCAGGAGCTGTCAAGAGGAAAAATAAAAAAGAAAGCACTGCTTCAATATATAAATATTATTTATTATCTCCTAGAAATTCAGAGATATGTTTCTTATGCTCTCACTATTATATGACTATGTGTAAATATCTGTTTTTGATTGTATTGTAATTTGTATGTGAGGGCCTCAGGGAAGATTAGTTTATTGTAACTAACTGAGTTTACCCTCTTTAAATAAAGAATTTATTATTATTATTATTATTATTATTATTATTATTATTATTATTATTATTATTATTACTACATTCTCTCTTTTCCACATAGTGTAGGGGGCAATTAGATATTATCAAAACATAGATCACCCAGGGATGGATTGTGAACAATGAAATGAGCAACAAAGTATTCCTTATGACTATAACTTATTCTACAAGGATTGCATTTAAATATTGTTGTTTTTAGTTCAGCAGGTTATTTGAAAGCAGAAGTCACAGGGGCAGATCCAGCCATTTTTAAAAGGGGGTGTTTCCAACTTAGGATAAAGGGGGGGTTCCAACTTATGTCCCCATTCAAATGCATTGATCGTCCAAAAAAAAGGCGGGTTCCAACCATTTCAAAGTAAAACAAGATACATGACTGATGTCATTAATAATAAACTAGATGGTAATATGCTGTTCATCTGTATTATAATGGTGATGGAAAAAGTCTTACTCTCAGGAATCAAACTATTAACTTCATACATGAAAAGCATATACAAAACCCAGATATTTTCAAAATATTATATCTTCCCTTTTATGAAAATAGTATTTTTCTTTACTTTAACATTAACACAAAGTTCATTCTCAATAAATCTACAGATTGCAAATGACTTAATCATAATTCTTTCTTGTTATTTTGGCAAATTTTGCTTTCTTGTTATTCTGGCAAATTTTATTTTCTTGTTATTCTGGTAAATTAAGCTAATGTGTGTCTATTTTCAGTGCCTACTAAATGTTTCACTTATCAGTATTATCTTTTGAAACATGCTGTGACAGTTATCTAGCAGGCAAAGCAGACTGAAACAGGTATATGACCAATACCTATCCTGGGATTGTGATTGGCTTTATAAGTCACTGACCACAGCATAATGGAATCTTATAAGCAAACAGTGACCACTGCTCTGAGTAATAATCTCTTCTATTGTAGATATTCTATGATAGAAGATGTTAAAAGAAAAAAAAAACATTACATTATGCTGTGCATACCGACATTTCCTTGTTTTACCTCCAGACATTCAACTTTTAAAGAAGAAGTAAATATCAAACTTACCCCAACAGCTCTTGCAAGACATCTGAAAAATAAATCAAAGATATATAAAGTAATTTGAAGTATATCAATGAAGTATATTCAAATATCTCTAATTCTGCATCTGTTTTATACCTTTTCTCATTATTTTTTCAATTTTTTTTATTTTAGATGTTAAAAGTTTTCTTTTCTCGGCCAATAATATGACATTATAAAGATGAGAATATTTGGTGAAAGAAGGAAAATATTCTGGTGAGACAAAAACTAGACCTAAGAACATATCTATTCAATAAGATACATGTCCATCAAATTTCTGATTCTTTGTCAAATGTTTTACAGACTTTCTGTTAAAAATCAATCAAAATAAATCTTTTTTTCGTCCTGTCCTTTGCTTTTATTGCTTCTAAATGTCAACAATGTTTGGACAGCAGATGAATACTTTTGGTTAAAGTACATTCATAATGTTGGTGTTTGGTCGACAGTTTACAAAACGATAAATATAATACTAAGGCTAAAACAGGTGCATTTCACCTAGTGATAAAATTTCATTGAATATTTTATTGAATTTTAAATCTTTGTAGATCAATTTACATGAAATTTACATGATTATGCATTTAGTAAAAGGAAAGTGGATAGAAAGGCTTACATTACATCACATTATTAGAATATAATTACATCATTATACTTTTCATAATAAAATTAATAGTTAAACAACATTTAAGTACTGCATGTCAAAGTATAATCAATATTTTGTAATTTAAAGTCCATAATGAGTCCTTTAATATGGAACCTGTACAAAAATTACAATTACTAAATCTACTGTGTTTCATAAGTTTCATTGAATTTTTGAAAATGTAGTAAAATATCTGAAAGGCTTCTTAGACAGATTTATAACATGCTACTTAGATCATGCCCTGTTACAATTGTAACATGTTAACGTATCTTCCCTGAACATTTATTACAAATTTATTCCTTATATTTTATTTCTAATTTTTACAACATATCTTTGGACAATCATTGAAGGTTTTGTTTTGCTCCTGTTCCTTTGGTATAATACTGGTATAAAATTAAAATCTAAATTATCACATTAATCTAGAACTTGACTAAATCTCCAAAAATAAATCATTGATGTTTCATATAAAATTTCCAATGGATAAAACAAAAAGCAGTTTTTTAAAGATCTCTAGTCCAGAATTATAAATTAATGTTAAGATTTGAAGGGACAAACGTTACAGAAAAGTAAGATTAATAACATTTTTTTTTTATCTAAAAACCTGCAAGTTAATGAAAGTCAACTCCTGATATCATTAAATTGCTGAGTTTACAATTTTCAATCAGTAGTTTTGCTCAATAAAGAGTGATTAAAAAGATAACAGCCACTCAATCTGTCAGAAGCAAAAAAATATATAATTAACCAATAATACTTCTTTACACAAAGTTTTGTGACCAGCTTCAAAAACAATAATTACAGGAAAACTGATATAAAAATCCATTTTAAGCTTCAAGCTATTTCCTAGGCAAATTGAAAAACTTCAAAAGATTTGAAATATGTCCATTATTTATAGCACTATAAAAGTTTCTGGTTTATTACACACTTAAGTTTGTTAATATTTTTTATTAGTAATCAATTTCTGTAACAAACATTACAACTAGAAGTGAATTAACATTGTGTACATTTCTGAAGAAATCAATTTAGTTCAATACTACCAGTAGTTACTATGCTGCTAAAGGAAACTTTAGAATAGTCTCCTGTCTAGAAAACAGCCTGCTAGTTTTGAAGTATTTACAACAACTCCTTTTATTCATGTTTTAATTATTGTAAAATTGTAAAAAATAGAAAATGTTTGACTGCAAAATGTGCAATTCATATAAACAAATCTTGTTATAAACTAATCGACTTACCCTAATTCATCCCATGACATAAATCCACGGAAACGTGGACAATCTATGTGGAACATTCTTTTTAAAAAATACTCTGACAATTCTGTTTCCTTAACTGAAAGAATGGATTTAATCCACAATTTGATTGAACTTCACACAATTTTCACAAATTTTCCATCTACATAATTTGAAGATCATTTTCATCAATTCATCTGCTTCAAATTCCAATTTAAGCATTTTTCCCCTCGTTCATCCGTGAATCTTCTTACTCAGGTTTCATTTATCTTAAAAATATATATTAATATAAATAATATATACAAATGAAATATGAATAATTTATTAAAAAATCTCAAGATTTATTTCCTTGGCACAAAAATACCAAAAGACTATTAAATCCGAATCTGAATGCCTTTATGGAAATGAAATTTGCCTGATCCTTCTTTCCATGTTTATGGATGGCGAATAATTATATTCTCATGTAACTATCACATAATGTTAAGTTAAACAATTCTTAACTGAGTTATAAGAGAAAGTATAGCGTTCATATCACGTCTTTCCCTGTTCATACACTGGGATTTAAATTCAGCACTTACGGTCGTTTAATCTTAATCCATTATTTGCATATCGTTGTACAAGTGAAATGAACAATCGTTTCTTATCTTCTACCCATAGATCACCTTTCATGCACATTATTCCATTTCAGATTTGATTTCAACTCTAACTCAAAGTCGTTTGACAAAACTTAGTTCTAAGTAACCCAAGTTATTAAATCCTGCAGATCAATATTTATAATACTAATAAAATGTATCATTTTATTTCCCATTGTATTAATGTGTTTATCACGGTTATAGCTTTGATATATAATTTATTTAAATGTATTCTTTGTGACCAATGAGTCCATTCTGATATGTAATGTTGACAAAACTTATATATCTATTAAGAACGGACACCAATACAGTAAAATCTTTGAATGAATATTTTGTATAGATAAGAAAGTATTTGTATTTAACAATACACAAATAAACTGTTGTTGCCTAAAACAATTTTTATTGAATTTTTTTTAGGGATATCAATTTAAGAAAACTATATCCAGTAAAGTGTGTGATTTGCCTTTCTTGATCTTATAAATGACCTTTCATCTTTATCCATCTTCTAGTCTATTCCTTCTTTCTGTTGTCTTGCTACCTTCTTCCTTGTCTTAATTGTTTTTTTTTTATCCTTGTCTTTTATTTCATTTCTCTTGACTTTGTCTCCTTTTTCAGTCATTTGTCTTATTTCTCCAATTCTTAATCTGTTTTTTGTTCTTCTTTATCACATGGGTCATTTCACAGTAATTTTTTTTTTGTCCTTTCTTTGTTGTGCCTTAATGAAAAACTGGAAATAATAAATGAATCCCACTTGCTCTGTAGTAATTTCCAAAACAACAATTAATTTGGTGAACTGTCATGTTACTACATGTACAACAGAGTTTGTTGCATAAACCAAAGTTCCTCTGATCAGAAAATAGTTATCTTTTTGGTTTAACTATGTTGTTGGGTTGCTGTCTCATTGTTAAAAACCCTTTTATTCATTCTGATATTACAAGGGATCCAGGTACAATCTCTGCTCCATATTGTGAGGCTCTGTCATGTTTTTCTTACTTGGATTTTTACATTCTTAAAAGTGTTTTCTGGTCACAAGTGCTTTTAAAAAATAATTCATGATATATCATTAATATTTGGAATGCCAACAAAAACTGAAATAATGGATGTTAAAAATGCAACAACAAAAACTGAAATCATTGAATAAATGTTAAAAAATTTGTAAGGGTTCCGTGGAACCCAGTGTCTTGCCTACTTTGCTGTTAGTCGCAGGCTCAACAAAAATGGGGAATAAATTATTAAAAATTTTCCTCTAGATACTATCTTTTGATTGTAAGAAGCTTCTATCCAAGTTTGGTAAAAATCCAGGATGGTTCATGAATCTAATGAATGTTTTAAAAACTTTAACTGCAGACTGTATGTTATGTTAACTGGCAGAAAAACTAAGTCCATTTATAAGTAATATAAGGATAAACAGGATTTTTTTTTCTCACAAAATTTACTTCTGGATACTATCTTATGATCATAAACAAGCTTCTGTCCAAGCTTGGTAGAAATCCAGGATACAGTTTAAGAAAGTTATTAAAATTTCAAAAACTTTAACCACAGAGTGAATATTTGTGGACGCCGCCGCCACCCACGGAATGTAGGATTGCTATGTCTCGCTTTTGCGACAAAAGTCGCAGACTCGACAAAAATGCAACACCAAAAATTGAAATACATAGTTGTTAAAAATGCAACAACAAAAACTGAAGTACATAGATGTTAAAAAATGCATCAAGAAAAACTGAAATACATGGATGGTAAAAAATGATTAACAAAAAAAAAAGAAGAAAATTTCAAGATCTTACATAAACACATCTGAAGTTAACTTAATATGCTTCATACAATTTAAATGCATGCATACAAATGCAACAGTATATAAAATATCAATGGTCTATCATAACTAGTTATTCTGCAATGACCTGGCGACAAAACAAGGTTGGCTGTTGATATCTATATCTATATATCTTTATTCTCATAACCATTGCAGATACAGAGGTAGACATAGAAGACAATGACAAGAAATGACTTCTATGTTAAGATTCTAGACATTAACTAGGTCTTAACTTAAATCTTGATTACAGACATTTCTCAGGAATTGACACCTATATCTAGATTCCAGACATTATCCAGGAATATGACACCTCTGTCTAAATTCCAGACATTAACCAGGAAATGACACCTCTGTCTAGATTCCAGACATTAACCACAAAATGACACCTCTGTCTAGATTCCAGACATTAACCAGGAAATGACACCTATATCTTGATTCCACACATTACCCATAAATGACACCTATGTCTAGATTCCAGACATTATCCAGGAAATGACACCTATGTCTAGATTCCACACATTACCCAGGAAATAACACCTATCTCTAGATTCCAGTCATTAACCAGGAAATGACACCAATATCTAGATTCCACACATTACTCAGGAAATGACACATATATCTTGATTCTAGACATTACCCAGAAATGACACCTATATCTTGATTCCAGACATTATCCAGGAATATGACACCTCTGTCTAAATTCCAGACGTACACCAGGAAATGACACCTCTGTCTAGATTCCAGACATTTACCAGAAAATGACACCTCTGTCTAGATTCCAGACATTTACCAGGAAGTGACACCTCTGTCTAGATTCCAGACATTAACCAGGAAATGAAACCTATATCTTGATTCCAGACATTAACCAGGAAATGACACGTGTGTCTAGATTCCACACATTACCAGGAAATGACACCTATGTCTAGATTCCAGACATTAACTAGGAAATGACACCTATATCTAGATTCAAGACATTAACCAGGAAATGACTCCTTTATCTATAGATTCCAGACATTAACCAGGAAATGACACCTATGTCTAGATTCTAGACATTACCCAGGAAATGACACCTATGTCTAGATTCCAGACATTAACCAGGAAATGACACCTATATCTAGATTCCAGACATTACCCAGAAATGACACCTATGTCTAGATTCCAGACATTAACCAGGAAATGACACCTATATCTAGATTCCAGACATTAACCAGGAAATGACTCCTTTCTCTAGATCCAGGCATTAGCCAGGAAATGACACCTTTCTCTAGATCCAGACATTAGCCAGGAAATGACACCTTTCTCTAGATCCAGGCATTAGCCAGGAAATGACACCTATGTCTAGATCCAGACATTAACCTCACACAAAACAAAGCCTGTATATTGCAGAAGACAGCATATTACATCTCTCTATGATGTCTCTCAAAAACTTGAAAAGTGTTTGAAACTGCTATGTAAATGGAAAAAATATGAAAGTTTAAGGATAAATTTCATTAAACCTGCTTGACAATCTTACAAACACATTTAAAGCATTGAAAAATGTTTAAAAACATTGACCGATTTTCAGCAAAAGACACTTATTGATAAATCATCATGAGCCTGCTTAGGATAATATAGAAGTTTATTTCAATGCTTTGCAATATACAAGAATTTAACAATAGAAAGCAATGGATATGTTTATCATCAAGGACTGTGTTATTACACTAAAATAAATCAGTCACACAACATTAACCATAATGTCCATGTATATGGTCCAAATTACATCAAATAAATAGGACTAGATATCTTAAAATTAAAAGTTTGATAGTTGAAAACAAGCTATGGGATATGAATAGAGATTTGTTGATTATATTTAGAACTAACTGTTGTTAATGAATAAAACTGACTTGAAAGTTATGTATGACAACCTACACCTTTTAAACTGTGAAATATTGTGGATCGATAATTTTCACGACTTTTGTCAACATATAGTAGCCAACAAATTTTAGTTTAATATTACAGAATTCATAAAAAGGCAAATTTATGTCAAATTATGGAATTAAAAACATCAACTGTATTCAACACTTAAATTTTTCAACTTTGATGTATTTATCTTTCAAAAATCAGTGTAATAACTCATATTACTTCACAGAAGTAAAAATCATAATGTATACATTGTAATAAAATACAGAGATAACTTCACAAACACATTGCTGATTCGATTACCCCATGCCTAATTATAACCCAAGCAACTATCATAACAACAGCCGTCTTTTGACTCAAGTCCTTTGCCCTGCAGAGGATTTCAAACTGCATTCAACAATGAAACAACAATTAAGTTCCTTAATACTCATTCAAGTTCATGCTTACAGATTTGATGACAACTGTGTATTTTTTAAACTCCCAATATTTGTAATGTTACAAAAACTAAAAAAATTTCATCTCCCCTTATACTGCACTTATTCTTACATATATTGGTCTTTGGAACACTTATGCTTACATATACTGGTCTTTGGAACACTTATGCTTACATATACTGGTCTTTGGAACACTTATGCTTACATATACTGGTCTTTGGAACACTTATGCTTACATATACTGGTCTTTGGAACACTTATGCTTACATATACTGGTCTTTGGAACACTTATGCTTACATGTACTGGTCTTTTGTACACTTACATATATACTGCATGGTATTTGGTACAATGTACTTCACAATAAAATAGAACATAGGTGAGCATAAACTTATAAACAGTTTTTTTTTCATAACAAAAATAATATAAAAAGAACTAAAATAATGAACACCACCTATTCTCATACACTAGGAAACAGGATTTAATTTTGTACATAATATTGAAATATATAAGGAAACATCTAAACATATAGTACTGTTACAATTATGCAATATCAAAACATCACATTTATTTCCTTTTCATTTCATAATGCTGATAAAACTAGTACATAGAAATATATTTGAATGTATACATTATCTGAAAATGTATTGACAATCTTGACTTGATTGTTTGCTGTGAGACTTAAAACTGACATCAGTAAAACTATCAAAAGACTTTTCTGTGTGATTGACATGGTGCGTAATCGATCGAAAATCTTGATGTATAAGTAAATTTACATAACTCAATGAATTTCAATAGGATGAAAGTGTACCTTGCATACATATATGTATGTTCTAATATAAACAAGAATAAAATTGTTCAAATTCAAAATGGAAAACGTTTGGTCGGCATTTAATGCAAATAATTCATCAGTGAAAATTCAATTTGAAAATGTTTATTCTTGATTTGGTGTAAAAGGATTTAAAAAGCTGTGAAGTTCAAAAGAACAACATAAAGTATCTTGTCATGTAGTAGTAAAGTCATACTAATAAACACAAAATTATCAGTATTCTCATCAAATCTATCCAGGTCTCAATTTATAAAGAAAGTTTCTATATCATAAAAGTAATCATACATCTAAACTAAAATACTTTTTTAAGAGGACTACTTTTCAGTGGCTATATTACTATCATTGTGCCTTCTTTTGGAACATTGAAATATCATTTCTACTGTGTAGAATAACCCTTTATTCTGTTTACTGAATTAAGAATATGCTTTTTTTCTTCAGTGTACTGAATTACAGCAATGGGAAGCCGAAGTCCTTTATTTCAATTTACTTTATAGATGTGATGTCATTTGTTCCAGTGTACTGCAATTTGGTGTCCCTTTTTTAATGTGCAGTCCCTTAATGCAGTGTACCTAAATAGAGGAATGTGTTGTCTTTTTTTTAGTTTATTGCATTACAGCCATAAATTGTCCTAGGTTTCAGTGTACTGAATTAAAACTTATAGTGCTGCATGGGCTGCTGGTGTTCTGGATTACTAATGCCATTCATTCTACAGTATACTGAATTAATTGTACTTTCCAGTTTGCAGTACAAATGCACATTGCATAATAAATGCTGTCCACTTTGAAGAGTTATGAATTAACAGAGCAGGTTCATTTTGTTGTGAGCTGAATTAATAGTCCTGCAAATAATGCAGTGTACTGAATTCAAAGTACACTTTTCTGTTGTTTTCTGAAATTTAACTGCTGTCGTCTTTTCATTATATTGAATTTTAAGTACTGTCTACTTTCAGTACTCTGATTTTTGAGTGCTGTCTGCTTTCAGTACTTTGATTTTTAAGTGTTGTCTACTTTCAGTACTCTGATTTTTAAGTACTGTCTACTTTCATTACT